TAACAGAGGCTAAAAATATCACGCTATATGCTGTAGACTGAGCATGCGTAAGTTTGCTCGGGTTTCTCTGAAATTCTATTTTCGTTTTAATATAATGAACTTCGACATTAGCCTTTGTCACCCAGACTATAACTGTGTATATCAACTACAACTGATATTGTTTAAGTGGGTAACAGAGGCTACCACTATCGCGCTACATCATATTGACACTATATCTGTCGGTGTACGTCTATAATTATAATATTATGACTATATGTAGTATGAAAATAGGTCACCTTATAGGGAGATATACTATAATGCTTATACGTTTAATTTTATACACAGGTATGTCTCCAACTTGGTATCTTCAACAATGTAGTAATATATCAACTAGTTAATAAACCTCTAGATATAATATACACGGCTGGGTCCACATGGCGCTATATCCTTACTTAGAAAGTTCATCGGGACTCTCCGATTTTAGTATCATGCTCCATCCGAACGACTAGACGGTGTTCCTGCAGGACTGACAGAGGGACACCAAGCCGGAAAATCCCGAATAGCTTTCTCAACCAACACTGGGATCAAACCCATAACCCTCTGGTTAACGAACGAGTGTCTTACTCACTGAGCCACCGCGACTCGTCTGATAATATAATACTTGACATAATATCTAGGTTAATTTACGTCCGCTTCCATTGAGATGATACCGTAGACAATAAATCAATGTCTAAGTATTCTGATATTAACATATTGATGGTCGTGGTAGTCAACGAGTCAGGGGATTGAGTTCGAATCTCGAGGCTGGTTCGCTACCCTGGAGGTTGGTTGTTCGATCTCTGTAATGGTCGAGAAAGTTAAATTCATCCAGATTTTCCGTCGTGATTCCCCCTTGTCAGTGATTGAGGACGGAGGGCCTGACAAGGACCGCTGTCTATTCGTTCGGAGGGTCCGAAAATCCGAGGTTCCGTGTACACATTGGCGTGTACGTAAAAGATCCCTTGACAGTTGGAATTCGATATAAGAGTAGGCCGTAGTGTCGCTGCCCGGACACAATTTCCCTCAAAGTACACTGTATGGATATCCGTCTTCATTAGCCCATTTCGGGGCAGAACAGTAGGACGTTAAACTTCATTTCATTTTTATTTCATTTCGAATCTTGAGAAGGACCTTGAGATTTGTCCGTTAAGCTGACTAGTCCTTCGGATGTGACGATAAACAGAGGTACACCCGTCTATACATTGGCGTGCTCTTAAAAGAAATTCGATGAAATGCCCATGACCCGACAAGATTCTTCTCTTTAGTATCACACCCTTGACAACAGAAAAAAGCGGGAGTAGTGTGTGGTGTTGAAGCTTTAAATTACATTCCCATCTGTTTTTTGTGATTATCAGTAATATCAAGATAGGCCAAAATTGATACCGGATACTAGGCGGACATTTTTTTTATATTCTTACGGTGGAAACGGACGTTTAGTAGAGCGATTACTTCCTAATGTCAAAATAAATTATTATTTCCATAATTATGTGCTGTGGTTTATTGTTTAAAATAAACTTATTTTATTACAATTGTTGATGCGGGGGGGGGGGGGGTATTTGAGAACAAACAAATAATCAGTATTTTACAATGGAGAGGGAGAAGATAGGGTTAAACGTTCACTCGAAACAAACTAGGTAATTTCGGGACTAACATATACAGTGTATTTCAATTTTTTTCAATAATACGCTTGCACGTAGGGCTGGGACCGGGGGACAAGGAGAAAGACCCTACTCCTTGTCACATCCAACCGGGGAATCGAAACCACGCCAGTTGACTCAATGACAGACCTTATGAAACACCCAGGGCTGGATTGGGCCATCGGCCGGTCAGACAAAAAATGAAAAAAATAATTTTGTGCAATTCGTCTAATAAAATCTTTTTCTTCTGAACATTATATGGGGGGGGGGGTGTATTGAACCGGTCATGCAGCGATGATGATCATGTTGTATGTGGCCGGTAGCTTTAACGGGCCGCCACGACATCACTGGAGTTTGGAATGGGCTGGTATAATAGACTTTCTGGGCCGGGTGTGCTGGGTGTGGGCCGGAATTCGGAATCCGAAAATTTCACCGGATTCACCAGACACTTTCACCGGCAAATTTACTAATTATTAAGTCCCCTGTACCCTGTTTCTGGGGATACGTCGGAAACGTCTGCCGATCGTTTGTAACTCAAAAAAAAAATTCAATTTTAAGGCCTCAGCAAAATTTGATGATAGCTAGTCTGCTTGCTGAATATGAGTGCGAGACGATTTCCTGAGACTGGTGTTAAACATTCCTTAACATTTTTATTAAATCGTTATTTACAGAGATGAAATTACAGAATTGGGATGTCGGGATTGGTCTCAAATTGCGGGAAATGGCCTCCCATTTTTCAAAATTTTCCCGGGGGAGAGCACCCGGACTCCCCCATCCGGGCTCCGCGATCAGTAAAAGGGGCCGCTCCGACACGGGACCTCGGGCCGTTTCCCGGCCCCAATCCGCCCCTGGATACAACACGCACGCGCTAACCATTCGGCCATCCAACACCCTATTTTACAGTGGGTAGCGACTAATAAAACATAATTAAGGTGAAAGAGAGAAATGGGGTTTAACGTCCACTCGACACAAAGTAGGTCATTTCGTGACTAACACATGGTTCAATTTTATTTTAATCATTCGCTTGTGCGTAGGGGTCTTTAGCAGTGGGAGAAAACCGGGGGACCCGGAGTAAAGCCACGAGGTTGGACAGGCGACCCTACTCCTTGTCACGTACAACCGGGGAATCGAAACCCCGCCAGTTCACTCAATGACAGGCCGTATGGTACAGCGCGCGTGCTAACCATTCCGCCACCCAACCCCCCATAATTAAGGTAGAGAAAATTAAAAGAAGGTTTTGATGTAACATCATTTACAGTTAAATATTACTTTAAATTGCGTTTTAGAGTTCGAATCACGCCATGGGCCCGAGAAGAACTCGTTCTCGCTTTTCAGGGTGGCCCCGGCGGAATTGACAAAGGAAATGTGCCTAATCCATCGGATAGGGTAAAAAGCGGCATTCCAGGCAAAGTTCACCATCGTATTGCACGCCTGGCGATTGAAAAGAAAAATACATTAATTAGTCTTAAATTGAGGAGACGTTAAACCCCATTCTAGTATTATATATATTGGGTGTGACTGTGATAAATACGGGGTTAAATGTACTGTCATGAACTGGCGTGGTTCCCCCGTTTTCCATTGTGCAGGACTTTGGGCCTGGCAATAGATAACACCTAGTTGTTCCGACAGTTCTTGTCTACTCAGGCGTGCAGGTATTGGAATTCCGTGTAAGAGTAAGCTGTCGCGCCGCTCTCCAAGACAAGATTATTTATATATAATTATATATCAATAGGTGATGTATTTTTATTATATATTCTCACCTGGTACAATAATTGATTGTTTTATAAACTTGGACGACATTAGTCACCCTATCTATTTTACTATAAAACTGCAACAATGCAGGATAAATGGATATGGATCATCTTGTCAAGGTTTGTAAATTTGTGTAACGAAACAGCTGACCGACAGCCGACAACTCTATACGCCTATATTACGCGTGGGTGTATATAGAAAAATTGCAAATAGAAAAAAAAGTGAGGAGTCCTTCCGTATTCGTGACTGAGACATTCTCCTATTGAACACCAAAACCAAATTTAAATAAAAGAAAGATGGTCAAATTCACGCTGATATGGATTTTAGCAAATTTCATGAAATTCGGGCAATAACTCAGCCCTGTATATAGCTTTGATACGTTTTATGTGAAATCAAGGGCTATAACTCTAAGCATGTTCATAATTATGATGTCAGTAATTAGTAATTAGTAATTCTTTCCCCAGGTGATTTTAATGTTAAATCTATGACATGCCTTGGCCTATAACATTTTTTCTAATATGCCCCGACCGGGCGTATTGAATTACCCAATAACACCCAATTAATAATACCCAATAATTCCAACTGCCAAGGCATACGTGCATGCCAATGTATACACGAGACCTCGGTTTTTCGTCCCATCCGAACGACTAGATAGCTGTCCTTGGCAGGCCCTCCGTCCTGCACCACTGACAAAGGTAAACCACATCGGAAAATCCAGATGAACCGCGACCTCCATGCTTACAAGCCAACGTCTTACTCACTTAGTAAGCTAGCACCCTTTGGCTCCCTGTTTAGAACGGAATTAGGTTAATGTCTCGATCTGCCACTTTAAGCGATTGGAATCACTTGTAAACTACAGCAAACTACTGTTCTGCTCCCACTGTGCTAACGAAAACGGGCATACGCCATACAGTGTGCTATGAGGGACACTTAGAGCGGACAGCGGCGCTGCGGCCTACTCTCAAGGAATCTTCAACGTGCACGCCACATACACGAGACTTCGGTTTTTTGTCCCATCCGAGCCATTTCGTCCCTGGTTAATTAGTATTTTGTATTATTTGATTTTTTAGGTTAATAGATGATCCAGTGCCCGCAGATGATACGTGTACAACAAAATTTACAATAAAATTCAATATAAAGTGTACAATAAAATTTCAATACATAACAATTTCATAAATATAACAAATTCAATGATTCTCTGTGGCAACAATTCCATGGCGATTCTTCCCCACACGGATATCCCGCCTGAAAAATCCTTCGTTAATGCTTTTTTGTTGTAACTGAAAAAATAAATATTTGATTGTTAATATATTTTAGTGTACAATTTACTTTGTTGTTTATTAATAAACGGGCCCACTCTAGCGTGGAGATGTTCCGAAATGATAAAGCGAATGTGTCCCGAAAGTAAACTATGTCGTGTGGACGACTTAACCAACGTATTTGGGCACACAATTGTACTTTGTAAAAATTGTATAAAAAAAATATTGTGTTCTTGAATGTGTCCAATTTAACAGCGAATTTATTATTATTATGTAACATACTAAGAACCTAACTACATTTTTTGGGCACCAACCACCACCGCCCCCCCCCCCCCCCCAGTCAAAAATTTCCCCGTACGCCTATGTGGACGACTGCACCAACGAGTGTGGACGACTTCACCAGATTTTTCGTGTGGACGACTTTGCTCGTGGACGACTTAACTGATATTCCTCTTGCCATGCCTTCGAACCTGCACCTGCTTCTTTTTTTTCTTTTGAACATACAATTATTTCGGTGGGTGCATGGGTATTTTGTTTATACGACACAGTATGAAAGTGCCATTTAACGAAAACGAAAGATGATTAAGATGCCAAGTTATGGCAACTTAAAAGTAAATAGCACGATCTGCTTAGTCACATAATAGAGTAATTAATTTAGAAGCTTCACACAGAACGATAATTTGCCTTACACCAGAGAATTTAGTAAGGCAGAGTAGGGTGAAGCTTGGTGATTTTATTTATATTTTCTTTTCTTTTCTTTTTGTATAGAATTGGTATATCAGATGGTTGGAGATGTTGTTGATATAGGGATGCATTCTGTTGGACCATATGATCCAGAGGTAGAGATACATGATATGGAAGGATTTTGTGGAATGTATATTGTTTATATGTGTAGCAGCAAAGGATTTAAAGTGCTGTAATTTAGGGCAGTGTAGAAATAAGTGACTGTAGGTTTCATTATTTTTCTTGCAGTATTGACATATATAGTCATCTACGTAAATATTTCGAGTGTGGAGAATATCTTTTGTGGGAAATGCATTGTGTATTATTTTGTGCATAAATTCTTTTTCTATTTCAGATAGTGTTGGACATTTATATAAATTATGCCAAACTTTTTCAAAATTTATATGAGGTAGGTGTTTGTTTATTTTTGGTTGTACGTTCTTACTATCAATGAGTGACCAGTACAAGTACAGACTTTTTCTTTAATCGATAGGTTGTAAGTAGACCAGTGACTAATAGTTGATTTAATCGTCATGATGAGGGGTAACCAGATTTTTTTCCATTTTATTGATCTCAAAACAAAAGCCCAGTAATTTAATTGTGTCTGTTTTAATGTTTATGTTTATATTTTCAGGAAATGAGTCATGGGATGGTTTACGAACACCAACATGGTGGATTTCGGTTTTATCTTAATTTAGTTGAGAGCTATATACGGAGCCAACATTTATACGTAAGGAATAAAGAATCGTGGACAACCTTGACGGATCGAACGATTATTTTTGATATTTTGAGAGAAGGATCCATTTACTTGAACTTTACTTTTCAAATTTTTAAACAGTATTGTAACCCAATTTACAATGTCATTTGGAAAATTCATATGTTTTAGTAGGGTTTTTATATAATTGTGTTCAATACGGTCAAAGGCTTTTTTCCTAATCAAACGATAAGATATAGGCATTAGTTTCATGTGTGTCTAAATAATTTAGGATTGAATCAATTAAATACAGGTTATCGAAGGTGCTTTTATTTGGTCCGGCTCCCGTTTGTGTTTTAGAGATCAATTTGTTAATAACTGTGTTCATTCATATACTTAATATTTTTGTGATGATTTTATAGTCGACACATAACAGGCTTATTGGTCTATAGTTCTTAAATAATCGGTGGTCGCCTCTATTCTTATAGACAAACAATTTATTCTTATAATTAATTATTATTAGTTTAAACAATATTTTATTCAATAAACTGAATTGGATTGAACAACAGGCAAGGCCTATATAAGTTCTCTCCAAACATATAAAATAGTTAACTCTTATGTTTACAATACAGTGGTGACATATGTACAGACAGTGAGTAACAAACATATATACATTTTGAAGTGTAATTTTAAGTTTTAAATGTTAAAGTTTTAAAATCTCTTGCTGTCTTTTATGTATTTTTGCACTATTTCAAATATGTTGGAATTGGTATTATCTGAAAGATTATTATTATACCGGTTCTCATTGGGTTAGATAATTCACCCTGTAGATAGATGTTGTTTATTACTTCTGTCAGGTCGGTTCCTATTGTGTCAAAGAATTTGATATAGAAATCTCCTGGAATACCGTCGATGCCTGGGCTACGGTTTGATCTGAAACTTTGTAACGCCTTCAGATCTTCATCTTTAGATATGAAATGAGACAGGGAATCTCTTTCCGTGTTAGTTAGGGTATTTATGTTACTGTTTTCAATATAGGAGTTTATTAGGTTTTCGACAATGTTTTGGGTAGTATATAGTTGTTGGTAATATTGGTGAATTGTGTCTAGAATATCTTGTTCATTATCAAATACTGTATTATTTTGATTGATTAATTGTTTAATTTGCTTTTTAGCACTGTTTTTGACCTCAGCTAATTTATATATTTATATATTGTATTGTATTTTGTTCTATTATTTCGATTTTTGTTTGAATTTCATGCATTGAGTTAGTATTCATAGGTAGTATGGAAGTAGATCAACTTATAGTGTGATATATATTGAGACTATATTTATGTTATATATATGAATGCATATCTAGCACTATGCATATCTAGCGGTGTATTATGAATGTATGTTATATTAAAGGAGGACGGATATTGTTAGTGTTGGTGACACGGGCTACTCCTAGATCTATCTTTATAATAGTATTAACATGTCACGTTTAGATTATATTTAGAGAGAAAGATAGATAGATATGGGGTTAAGTGGAGGGAAACCGCAGTTCAGGACCCGGAAAAACCCACGAGATTCGTTGACACGTATATGCGGGGAACCTACTCCATGCAGATTGACTCTATGTATATGATAGACCAGGAAAAAACCCACGAGGGTGGACAGGCTACCCTATTCTGTGTCACGTACATGCGGGGAACCGAGTCCACGCCAATTGACTCTATGATAGACGTTACTCACTGAGCCATCGCGACTCCCTTGATAATATAATACTTGACATAATACCAAGGTTAATTTACGTCCGCTTCCATTGAGTTGATACCGTATATAGACAATAAATCAATGTCTAAGTATTCTGATAATAACATATTGATGTCAGGGAATTAAGTTCGATTCTCGAGAAGAACCTTGAGGTTTGTCAAGCCTGAGTTTCACCTGTCAGGGGTATAACGTCTATTGGGCTGACTAGTCCTTCGGATGGTTCCTACGTGTATACATTGGCGTGCACGTAAAATACATTCGATGAAACGCCGCTGTCAGGGCAAAATTCTTCTCATTAGCATAACATCCCTTAATAACAGAATAAAAAGCCGGTAGTATTGTGTTGTGTTAACGAAATGTTAAATTACATTCCTATTTTATTTTGTGGTTATATGACTAAAACGTCAGTTATATCAAGATAAGCCAGAATATTTTAAAGATACTTCACCGTATACAAACCGTTCGATCAAGAAATAACAACCTCTCCCTCAGTTAAACTAGCATACAATAAGCCGTCGTGTTGGCTCCCTCAGTTAAACTAGCATACAATGAGCCGTCGGGTTGGCAGTTAGTGATACCCTGACATTTTTGCTCAGTTCCTGTTTTTCGCGTAATCCAGTATTTTTCTAGTAAGATTGGGCGTCTAAACTTTTCATATATATCATGTCATACTTTTACTGGGAATAACCACCTGATAAATACATATATATCATGTCATACTTTTACTGGAAATAACCACCTGATAAATACATATATATCATGTCATACTTTTACTGGAAATAACCACCTGATAAATATATTTGTGACAATGTATCTTTAATATCCTTGTGGTTGAAGGGGATGTTTAGTTGAGAGATTAATCTTCCAAATATTGCGGGAGGTTGCGTGACCGAAAGGTTAACGCATGCGCGTTGGATCATAAGGTCTGCAATGAGTCAAGTGGTGTGGTTTCGATTCCCCGCTTGTACGGGACAAGAAGTAGGGCCCATCCTCTTAATTTTGCTCCCACTTCTAAAGACCCATACGCATAAGCGAATCATTTACATAAAATTGAAACATATGTTAAAAACAAAACTCTCTCTCTCTCTCTCTCTCTCTTATTAAGGTCAATAATTTCTATACATGTTAACTATTACCTACATCCTATATTATTTATATTATATGAACTATTATAGATGGCCAATTACTACTAAACCAAGCATATCATAGTATGATGTACTATTAATATTATATGAACTATAATAGATGGCCAATTAATACTAAACACAGCATATCATAGTATGATGTACTATTAATATTATATGAACTATAATAGATGGCCAATTAATACTAAACCCAGCATATCATTGGTTTATAGTGGAGAATAATTAACATCAAAGTTTACTGTATTACAAGATATGATGGGAATTATTAATGTCTATAATCAGTATATTTCAAGTGAAATGAAATGAAATGGATTTTAACGTCCTACTGTTCAGCTCCAACTGGGCTAATGCAGTGTGCAATGAGATAAATTTTGTTTGGACAGAGGCTCTACGGCCTACTCTTATTTCAAATTCCAACTCTCAAGGGTTCTTTTATGTGCATGCCAATATGTACAATGGACCTCACCTTGGTGTTTCATCCCATCCAAAGGACTATACGTTGTCCTACATCACTGACAGGTTAGCGAGTTAACGTCTTACTCACTGAGCCACCGTGGCTCCCATGTGGAATGAATCAGAATTGTAACAAAGGTTAACCTAAGCTATATTGTACAAGTGATGTAATTATTTATAATGGGTATAACGAACATCTATTCAAGTGAAATGAATCAACATTAAAACAACTGCTATCATTAGACGAGTAATAAGTATTTTATGAATAAACGAAGTATCATAACATATAATTGATTGATCAATAGTAGAGGTCTAATAATATTGTAATGATATCATTCAGGTATATAATACATGATATACTAATGATATTGTAATTATATCAGTCAGCTATATAATACATGATATACTAATGATATTTATTTTAGCTTGTAATATATTTATTCACAGAATATAATTATACATTATAATATTTACAGTATTTTATAATTTCCACACCTTTAATTTATTTTTTTACTTATTCCCTGTTACTATATAAGACACACACAGGCAAAGTATTCGCTGTTACTATATAAGACACACACAGGCAAAGTATTCCCTGTTACTACATGTATATATGACACACAGGCAAAGTAAAATACAATAATATACAATAATTAAAACAAATATTTTTGATTATTTATAATATGTATAGTCTAATAGTTGAGTAGATATAAAAGAGTGAACAGTAAAATTATTTATAATGTGTATAGTGTAAGAGTTGAGTATGTATAAAAGAGTAAAAAGTAAAATATGATATATATAAATAAAATCATTGCCTGTATCTTGCACACCTATAATACAATAGAGCATACAGATTTTAAGTACATTTAGTGTCAATGAGAAAACCTGGTTTTAAATACTAATTATAAATTTCCATGTTTCAATTATTGCAATATTTGATGACTTTACGTCTAAGAGAAAATGAATTGCATTAAATAAATAATTTGAAGATATTTTCTAATAAACAGGTTGGCAGTGGGATTTTGGAGTGTAGAGGTTTTTGGCTGTTGAGTACATAGTGTCTATCTGAAAATATGCTTCAAATTTTAAAATATGGCTATTAATGTTTCAAAAGTTACTATATTTGGTGACTTCAATAGCAAATAAAGATAATGTAAGCAAGAAAATTGGTTATAATTCAGAGTTGGCTGAGAATATCTTGTGAAAAGGTTTACAATAGCCAATATCATTGTTAATTTTTTGAGATGACTTGATGAGCAAGACTAAAATGATTTGTATAGTTTAGATAGAGCTGGATAATAGGGACTTGTATCACTGGTGTTTATGTTGGGGGTTAAAAGATGGGTCGAATGCTGGCAGACGGCAATTCGTCTGCTATTCTAGAGAGATATTTTCATAAACGATTTAAGTTGTCAATTATATCATCATTAAGGGTATCTAATTTAGTAACTTTAGATGTTATATTTAGGATTGAGTTTGTTTACTGTGATTTCTAAGTATGACAATTATCTTTTAGGCTTATTTCAAATCTAAAGTTATTTCTTAAACAAAGTAGATTTGTTCTATATTTGATTGAAATAGATGAATGACTTCGAAGCTCTTCGAAGGGGATCACGGTGGCTAGGTGGGTAAGTCTCTAGCTCGCTAGTCTGGAGGTCGGTTTTCGATCCCTGCATTGGTAGAGAAAGTTCATCCAGATTGTCCGGCGTGGTTCTCCCTTGAGAGTGATGCAGGACAGAGGGCCTGACAAGCACAGCTGTCTAGTCATTGGCGTGCATGTAAAAGATCCCTTGACAGTTGGAATTCTATATGAAAAAAGACCGTAGTGCCGCTGTCTGGGCAATATTTTCCTCATATCACACTGTATGGCGCATGCCCGTCTTCATTAGTCGAGTTCGGAGCAGAACAGTAGGACCATTTCTTTTCATTTCATTTCATTTTGAAGCTCTTCGGAGAAGGTGTTAGAAGGAATATTTAGGGATGTTCTGGAATATTCGAGCATTCTCAACAATAAATTTTTCAACCTTAAAGAAATCAAATACGGATGTTTGAAGCTTTTGACCTTGTTATATAATATTTAACAATATAACATTTAATTAAAAGTTCTTCGGAAGAGGTCTTCAAAAATCATTGAATAGTTATCAAAGTGAGAGAGAGAGAGAGAGAGAGAGAGAGTGAAATGGGATTTAACGTCCACTCGAAACAAACTTGGTCATTTCGGGACTAACATATGGTTCAATTTTATTTCCATAATTTCCATAAAGGGGTCTTTAGCTGTGGTAGGAACGTATCTTACGACTGAGCAAATAAAAACGGACATACGCCAAGCAGAGTGCTATGAGGGAAATGTAACCTGGACAGCAGCGCTACTGCCTATTCTAATATCGAATTCCAACTGCCAAGGGATCTTTAAAGAGCATGCCAATTTGTACATGGGACTCGTTTTTTTCGTCCCATCCGAACGACTATACGTTGATGTCCGTGATTTGTTAAGAGCTCTATCTAATATTTATCAATGGAAAGCCTCGTGTTTACCGAGAGTCTGATAAAAAAAATAAGCTTCCTATGGACAAGGAACTGAATCACCATATCCATGAAGCTACCTCGTTATTCGTTATTCAACTTTATATCCGGGATCCCAATATGCAGCTAGCCGTGACTAGAATGGATGGGTGCCAAGTATCCCCCAGTAGTATAAAACTGGGCCTTAGGGTTCTTCGAAGAGCGCCACCCCAGTTACTGGTCCAAGTTCTCGTAAAAACGTCCAGTCGTTCGCAAATTCTTGAAATTTGGACTTGATGAAGAGTCCGTGCAAAAATTCAATCATGGCTTATGCCCGTCGCCATTAAATCGATTACTGCCGAAAAGAAGGGAGCTAACTGTTCTATTTAATTTTTGAATTTGAAGGAAAGTAAACATACTATATCATAACTTTACCACCGATACAGGGTTCGATATCACATTTGTACCTGACAAAGGTTTAATAAGGTTACCTGTTCAATCTGTTGGGTTTCATCCGGAAATGAAATCGGGTTTAAAGAGACCATCCCGATT